TGTGTGTGTGTGTGTGTGTGTGTGCGGTTGTGTGCGTGTGTGTGTGTGTGTGTGTGTGTGTGTGTGTGTGTGTGTGTGCGTGTGGTTGGTAATGGACACGTTTGTTACTTAGGCTAAGTATCCGGAGGATTTGGTCAGCTGGTCGGAGGCGATAGACCTTGGGGACTTCAAGAGGTTTCGTGACGAGGTAAGAGGGGTGAAAAGAGGTGTTTGATTTTTTTACTCATTAAGGGTGTTTGGTCTAATCGGTGTGCTACACACAGATGTTGATTAAGGTGGAGGTCGATTCCGGTGAAAACTTGTCCAGAATAACGAATGGAAAAAAAAAAGAACGAAGCTATCTCTTGTACCCTCTCACTCTCGATGAGTTCTGGGACGCCGTTCTGAGGGCCGGACCCCATTTTGGTACTATGTTTATATTATCAGAAAGCATCAACCTCAAAAATGTTTGAAACGGACTGGTTCGTTCTTTCTTAGCACGAACATAGCAGCAAAAAAATGGTGATCGACTCCGCCAGCTGAGTCCTTGAGAGAAGAATATAGCCTTAACAAAAAAAAACAAAAAAAAACAAGAAGGTACCCTGATCGATGAAAGCTGAGCCAGTGGCCATGAGAAGCCGTTTCGAAGAGGGGGGCTTTTCGTCAATGGGAAGGGTTCTCACTTATGACCCCCAGGTTCTTCAATCCTGATCATCGATTACAAGATCGACGGCAGGAAACCGAGCATCCGACGAAGTGGGTCCTCGCCCCTTGTTTGTTCGCAAAGCTCCCGCTACAAAAACGAAGATTGAGGATTATTAGATTAATTAAGAAAAAGGCTCTCTGGCTTTGTATTGTCATTACTACAGCAGGAAAAAAACTTTTTTTTTTTTTTTAGTAATAAATACACATTGATCTCTCCAGCGTCCGAATTCCTATTATAAACGGGACCAATGTCCAAGGCTGCACCTCTGTTAAGTACCAAATTCGTATCCACTAGGAGGGCTGCACCTTAAAAGGATAATAGAAAAAAAAACGATTGCTTAAGAGGATTTGATTTTATTTGACACGGTCCCCGATACGATGGAGAAAAAATGCGGTCAGGTACGTTGAATATATAGAGCTACTACGTAGTAGTGCCAGCAAAAGAGCTCCAACGAATCTATTTTTTGGCATTTTCTTTCAAAAGTTAAACCGAAAAGCGTTTATTATTAAGCTCCCCACCAATACACTGGAGTCATCCCCCCAGAAAAAAAAAGAGGAAAAGAAAAAAGAAGAAAAGGAAACAAAAAGAAGAGAAGGAAAAAAAAAAGAAGAAAAGCGTTTATTACCCAGGCCAAGCAGTTGAATGCTCCAGATACATTCAATTGTGCATGATCGATCAAAAGCCCTCTGATGCACTTGTCCATCAATTGTCCATGATCGATCAATCCCTCTGATGCAATTGTCCATGATCGATCAAGCCCTCTGATGCAATCAGATTACGTAACCAGTTTATCCCAGAGGGCGAAGGGGTGGCAGTGGAAAGTGTTTTTCTGTAGAAGATGAAGAGAGAGGAAAAAGAAGAAAGGGCAAAGATGGTTGTTCACGTAGGACCTCGCTCCAAAATGACTGTATCTGGCCGCGACTGCAGGTACATTCATTCAAGGACGGGCAAGTACGATCTCTTCTTTGACCATAACTGTGGGCGTTTCAAATAGCAGATCCGAAGGTTCTGCCATGCCATTCCAATGTTTGTTGGCGAACAGTGTGGCAGGGGGTTCGTCCGTTGTTGTTTCCCCCCCTCTCCCCAACCCCTCCCCCGCCCACTCGTCTTCGACTTCCGCTTTTTCTTTTGTTGTTTGTTGGCCCCCACGTTCCCCTCTCCCCCCTCCCCCCCCCCCTCCCCTTCTCCCAAATAAGAGTTGTATCATGGTTATTACTTTTTCTCTCCCCATGGCTATTTTTTTCAAAAGTTTTACTGAAATATAAGCATTTGCGATAAATAAATCGAATTAGATGAGAAACATTGAGAAGTAAAAAAAAATACCGTGTCGAGCAGCGCATCATTCCTGTGTGATGGGAGTAGTGTGGCAAACGGCAGGCTGCTTCTGTGAATCAGGCATGGCTTCGTTTTTGCTTCTTTTTTTTGTGTTTAAGCAGGCATTGTTCCCACTCCGCCAAGGATGCTTCTTCCTTTTCTTTTTCCCCTTGTTATTCGCTTCTTCTTGTTTTCTTTCCTTTCCTTTATTTTTCTGGAAAAAAAAAAAGCCGAAGCACCAAAAGATGGCCAAAGAATTGTGCGCGGTATGAGTTGAACACGCGAAAAAGAAAAGACGGAAATACTAGACGACTAGCAGCCGGGCCGCCCGGGTCAGCCTGTTTCCCCAGGCGGCCCGGCCGTGAAAGAACTAGGGAAGGTCCCAGCCAAAAAAAAAATAAAAAAAAATCCAAAAAATCCGAAAAAAAAAACTATTTTATGCAGAAACATAAACTGAACAACTTTTGCCTCAGCGTCACATCGAAATTCTTTACCAAATTGAAAATAAAAATATATAATTTGAAAACCAATTTTTTTTTTTTTTTTTTTTTTGGCCCGGCCGGGCGCGTGGACCCGGGCGACTCTGGTAGCCTAGCGAAAATACTCTTTTTTTTTTTCCCTTTCGGATGAAATGAAATAACGAATTTTGAATCTCCCCATTGCGTACTTTGCCTTTAAAGAGTTGAGTGCGACACCAGTGAAATAATAATTATAATTACATAAGAAGTACTTCCCCACTTTGTACAGCTGTGGCAGCCGCCACGGCGGCCGCATTTGAAGTTCCAGATTTTACTCCCGCCTTTTTTGTGTGGGGGCGGGGGGGAGGGGGGGGGGGCGAAGGGCGAAGGAGTACACATTTGAAGTGGACGATTCGTTCTGAGAGGACAGCGGCGCCGCCGTGGCGCCAATATCAGCGGTACCATTTTCCCCCCCGTTTATTCTTTTCTGGGGCCCAATGGCCGATCTGTCGTTTTTTTAAATAAGAGGCCAGCGGTACCACCTGCCAGGGGTACCATTTCCCTCCCTTTCTTTTTGGTCCCGGGGCCCGATGCTCGCTTTGTCATCTCGATCGGATGGCAGTGGCACCGCCTAGCAGGGGTGCCATTTTTCCAACCATTGATTTTGGTCTCAGGGTTCGACGGGCGCTCTGTCATCTGAACAATAAATGCCACGGGCGGCGGCACCACTTTTTGCCCGGGGCCGGGTCCGGGTCCCACTAGCAAAGAGGATTGGATTTGCATCTTGAATCTGGATGTGATTGCGGAGAGGTGCAGAACTGCAGATCAATCACCATTTCCTGAACATATCAGCAACCACGTCCAGATTCAGGCGTTCAATCGGATCCTCGTTGCGTTTGCTAGTGGGACGTCGCTCCCGGAGTATCATTTCTTTGTTCCTCATTTGTTTTCTTTGCTTGAGGGCGTGATTCCCGTTCTGCCTTTCAAATCGAAATCGGATGGAAGTGGTACCGCCGCGCAGGAGTACCATTCTCCCGCTCCTTTTTTTCAATTTCTTTTTTTTTTTTTTTTTTTTTTTTT